GCTGGGAAACAAAATTTGAGGAATAGATTTTGCATGCGCACACAAGAACTAATTGGTTGAATCCAATGGTCTTTCATCCAAGACAGTTGACCCCAAATTGAGTAACATTAAAGATTTTTTTGGTACTAACCTCTTGCTATTCGATAACTATATTGGATCTCGATTAATTCGGAATCAAGTCACGTCGGACCCCATTTGAAAAGAAACTCTCCTAGCACATGTTTTTTTATTTACAAGATTTGAACTCAAAATCTTATTTAAAAAGAACCAAACTCTTTACACTCGATCTAACAAGTCATTGGTAACATTAAGAATATATATCTATATTCTGAACATAGAGAATTTAAAAAAAGGGAATTGGTTTTACAAAAACTAGAATCAACGCCTGCACCCTATCTAATATAATTTGTGTTGTAAGTGCAAGTAACATTAAGGATATAGAAGAAAATAAAACAAAGTTTTATATCAAGGAGCTTGAATATGTATACACTAACATTACCCTCTTTTCATACTTTATTTTCACATTGAAAATGACAATATTGACTTAATGGATGAAGTGGAAATGAATTTCCTGTTCACACTCCGGGATAGTCCAAGTCAATTGTAAGGGAATTCAATACACTTGAGAGAAATGGATAGAGTGGTTGTGTGGTGTTAATTTCGTTGGGCCTCATATTATTTAAATGTCAGTTTCGTATATTTTGTAATTTAGTTTAGTAGATTGATTGGTATCGTAACTCTCTAATGGGTTGATGAGTTGATCAATTGATATGCACCAAACGAAATTCTATTTTTGACTTGACTTAGGGGAGTAGTTATGGTTACATGTAGAATTATTAAGGTAGCACAATTTTGGTTTTTTTTAATAGTTAATTACAATATTTGAAAAAATTATTTTATAAATTAATTTTAATTTATTAATAATTAATAAATATTAACTATTAAATAAATTATCAATTAATATTTATAATTATCAATTATTTTTAATAATTAAACTTAATAAAATTAATATTTTTAAAAATAATATCAAAATTTTATATAACTATAATAATTTTATATGTAATTATAATTGTAATCATAATCATAACCTCAATTTAAATATTAAGACTATTAAAAACCTCATAATTATGATGTGGAATCATATGAAAAAAACAAACAAGAGCTCCTATTGCTCAAAATTTACCCTTGCATAATGGAACAATGCCATATGCAAAACCACTTTTGCAAGGTACAAGAATCAAACCAAAAAGTATAAAACCTTACTAATAATATTATCACTAAATTCTACGTCCTAAACGGGTGCATATATGTTCATGTTTCCTTTTGTCGTACTTCTTGGCACGACAAAATCCACCCACCCTTTGGAAAGCTGAGACTTAATGTATATTCTATTCATGCTTTTCTCTGTTTTCCTTTCAATTTTTTAATGTGTATGGTGAGCAATTAGGTACGAAATTTAGGACAAAGATAAAGAAGAAGGGGAAAGACAGCAATAATTGAGTTGGTAGAGAACATTATTGAAAGTACCGACTTCTTTCCATTGTCTGAATACTTCTTCCTTTTCAATTAAAGACGAGCTAAGCACCCAAAAGGGAAGAAAGCTTAAAAATCTCAGGCACGGCTTTGATCTTTCTTGCTATATATTTTGTGCATGAGATCATCACGATTTCAAACAAAACAGTTCACTGTTTTTTAGTCCCTTTTTTGCTTCTGTAAAGTTTGTATAACGTTGAGTTGCGCCCGTAGGTTTCAGTGGGTGCATATTAGTGGGGTTGTTTCCATCAGCATCCATTGTTTCTTAATACTCAGTATTTTTTAAGTATTAACCTTTTAAGGGGCGCAATATATGAGGATTAATATAGGCTTGAAACTTCATCGCATTTTTAGGCTTGAACCATGTCTTGTGCAGATCTATGGATGGAGTCTTATCTGATGTTTGTGCGTTATGTAGGTTTAGTTTGAGAATGTTAATCTATAATTATAATTATAAGTTTTTTAATTTTAAAAAATTTTAAAAAATATATAAAATATACTTAATATTTATTTTAATTAATATTTTAAATATTTTTAAAATAATTAAAATTGAAAATTTTTAAATTAAAATATCAAAAAAAAATATTATCAATTAAAATCATAATTTATATGTTTAAGTAAAACTAAATAAATCTAAAATTTATACCTAACTTTTTTCATCCAATAATTATAAATCATTATATAAATGTATCGTCCTTGACCCAAAAATTGAGTTTGAAATTATTTAATCCAAAATGGTAACTTGTTAAAAGAAAAAAAAAATCTGAAGTTCAAATCAAATTGTATTAAAAAAAAGCAATAATTGTGAGTTGTACTTCCTATTAAGAGACAACAAAGCAAAGTTTGTCCAATCTGAATTGATGGATAGCAATTTCTTTTGTCTTATACACCAAAGGATATATTAATAATAGATATATTACAATGCATTCATAACTTGCGATGTAGACAAAATTTAAAAATGAAAAATAAAATTTTTAGCACAAATTATAATAATGCTATAGACTAATTAAATTAATACATTTAAAAACTTACTAATTAAATTCTTACATAAATATCATAATTAAATTCAAATTCAAGATATAATAATTAAATCTTTTTCTAACATAATTTACTTAAACATAAGACACTAAAATAAAATTACAAAAATAACAACAAAGTTATAAAAAAATAAAAGGATTACTTTTAAAAAATTTTCAACTATAAAGTTATCTCACTTATTACGCTGGAGAGAACAAGTCTCCGTGCACTGTACTACACTGCTAATATTTATGTTTCATTATGTTGGGGGAGGCAAATCCCCAAAATCTAATATCTTATTATTATTATTTTTTGGTACATAATATGTTATTTCTCCTTCTTTTATGCGTCCATATATCAATATGCATAAACAAATCAATGGATTGATGCATAATAATTAATAAACATGAATACAAATGTACCTATTCTAAAGAAAAAATTAAAATTACAACAGACAGGCATCAATTGAAGCTGAATTGTTATTTGAATTATGTTTTATGTTTCTGGATTTTGTATTATTAGTTATTTTATGAATAAGGGTTTAGATTAGACAAAAGCAGATTACAAGCAATAATGCACAAAAACCGGTTGGCGGGGGAGCAAAGCATAGTAAAAAGCATTACTTTATATATGTAGGGCTTCTTTTTCTCTTTAGAAAAGGTCATTAGATTTCATAAAACATTATCAAGGGTGGATGTTTTGACTTCTTAATCCATGATATTTTAAATTAAAAAAAAAAATAGACCATCTACAAGAAATGAAAGGATGGATGAAAAAAATGAGAAAAGAAAAAACTATGGAAAGTTTTTGGGTGTGTGCATTGATATATCTAATTTTTTTTTTTTAACAGATAAAATGGTTATATTAAATGTTAATATCTATTGTTTTGTAAGATGATCGAATCTTAAAATTGGGTGTATTCTACTTGTTGCTCAATGGATAGCGTGACTATCATTGAATCACGTAGGAGATTGCAATATATCTAAATTATTGTTGATGTATTTGATATTTAATTGACTTTGTCATATATATACATTCGATGTTGATACATTAAATAAATTTTATAATATTTATCTTTTTAATAAATTAAATAAAGATACATATTAATTCACACATCATATCAAATAAATTGAATCATTTAGCGTGCTATTGGGTTTGAAATGAATAGTGATGTAAACGTATGCTGGGGATACAGACCTCATCACCAGGGCAAGGTGAAACGTTTTAATCTGCCTCTCCAGCCCTCCAAAGTCTACAGATTAAAACAAGTCATAAGGAAGCAACAAAACCCGTAAAATCAGAAAGCAACAGCCCTGCATTTCTAGGAGCCAGCCTGCCCCTCCCTCTTTTTCTCCAAGCCGTTGGACCTCTGCCAGCCATAAATTAGCCTTATGATTCTTCTCTCCCAGTCTACACGTTGGGTTGTTCCAATTCAAACGTGCCAGCTGCTTTCACTTCCATTAGCACATAAACAATGGGTTTTATGGTTGCCACGTTTCATTTTTTTCCCCTCTATTGTTTGACTGAATTTATTTTGGTAATAGACTTTTTCAAATGAAATAAAGTAATGGATTGAAGTTAAAGGAATAGATAATTTTGTTATTAATATTTTTATGAGTGATTAATAATTAATATAATAATTTAAAATTAACAATTAATAATTTTATTTAAATTATTAATTATGTAAAAATATCATCTAAATTTAATTTTTTAAAAAATTAAATGAAATTGAAAAATGAAACGGGGCACAATAAAAATTTTGAAAGAACATGAATTTGCTTTTTTTTTTTTATATATTTAATTATAAGGTATATAAAAAATGATAACTTCTTATTATTCTTATATTTCTCCTCACCTAAGTAAAAACTTAAACATAAAATCTCTAACTCAAAATTTTAAATCCTTAATTGTTGAATTAACCCTTTGAGATTGAATTTGCTTTTTCTATTGCTTAATCACATCTCTCTTCTCTTCAAAGGAAACAAACAAAACTGGCACCAATCAGTAGCCCTGCATATTCTTGATGCCAATTTTTTTTGTTTTCTTACTCATAACCTAAGCATATTAAACAACTCTAATCATAGTTTTCTATTCAGTCTATTAAGGCAGAACAAAAATCATAACATTAATAATAATACTAAATCATTAATAAAGAGAATGGGCTCTATAAATAATTAAAAAGAATGCAGTTCACACAAAATAAGCTGCATTATTTTCGTAATAATAATAATAATAATAATAATAATAATAATTAAAAATCAGCTTTTTGAAAGCTTAATTTTCTTTATATACTTGACTACCTCCTTTGTGAGGGGCCACAACTTTTTTCCCACTGATTTGAATTTGATGAAAAGCCTCTTTAAAGAGGAAGCATGTGTAAACAAATATCTCACTGAGAGACCAACCTTAAAGCCATTTCATTTGTTTGTTAGAAGGCAAGGAAAGAATCCATTATTGGAAGGAGAAGAGAAGTTCCTTGCAGCTTCTCAGATAGTTATCTCCTGGTTTTTCTTCTGGTATAAATTCAACCCTTCCCTTTTCCAGAAAGCCAACTTGACACTTTTCCTCTTCTCTTCTCATATCATCTCTCATTCCACCTTCCTTTCTCTTCTCCTGCACTTCATCAACAGCTTTCTCTTCTACCTTTAAAATTAGAAATGGGAATTGGAGGAACTTTGGAGTATTTGTCTGATCTGATGGGCAGTCGTGGCAAAAAACACAAGAAAAGGAAGCAATTGCACACTGTTGAGCTCAAGGTGAAGATGGACTGTGATGGGTGTGAGCTTAAGGTCAAGAACGCTTTGTCTTCATTAAGTGGTATGTATGTTCTCCTTTTTCCTTTCCTTCCCATTTTCTCTCCTCTAGTTTCTGCTTCAATTTCATGTTTTTTGGTGCAGCTTAAAAAATTGTTTGTGACTGTGTGCAGGAGTGAAATCTGTGGAAATAAACAGGAAACAGAGCAAGGTGACTGTAAAAGGGTATGCTGAAGCAAAGAAGGTGTTGAAGAAGGCAAAAGCAACAGGGAAAAAGGTTGAGATTTGGCCTTATGTTCCTTACAACCTTGTAGCTCAGCCTTACGATCCTAAGGCTTATGACAAGAAGGCACCTCCTGGTTATGTCAGAAGAGTAGACAACACTGCCACCACTGCCACTGTTAGCAGCTATGAAGATCCCTACTCAGATTTGTTCAGTGATGAAAACCCAAATGCCTGCTCTATCATGTAAAGGGACAAAAACACTACTCATGCTCCTTCTATCTACTATCCTCTGTTTGTCTCCCCTGCTCCTTCTAGAAGCACCCAGAAACTAGAAAATTAGTGTAAAATTCTACTCTAGGATTTATATTTTCAGTTATTTTTGTACTTATCTTTATTATTAGCCAGTAAAGTATGAGAAGATTAAGGAGTTTATGATTCTTGTTTCCTTTGCTGGTGATTCTGTATAAGACCTGGTTTGTAGTTTTGTAGGGGCTAAAGCTTAAAGGTGATGAAATGGTTTTCGGTGTGTTGGAAATAATTGAAGTTGTGGTGAGGCAACTATAGCAGGCTAGCAGCCATCCCCTTTTTCCTTTTGTCTTTATGGATTATGTTATGAACTTCATGCCCTGCATTTTGGTTGGACTGAACGTAGCTATGACATCACACATCAAGATAGGTGCAAGTTGGCCACTACTTATTTACATGGCAAAGAAATGTACTACATGGAAGGGAAAGTGGACCTATGAGCATTAATAAGTTCTAACATTTTATGAATAAGTTCTCACATTTTTTGTACTTGCAATTAAGACATAAATTATGAGTTTTAATGCAGGAAATGATTAGGGGTAAGATTAACTAAAATAAGATTATAAACCACGGAGGTCAGTGAATCAACAGTGTTGGTGATCCAAGAACAATTGCTTCAAAATTTTCAAATTTTATTCAAATTCAAATCATCCTGCCTCTAGAAAGGAAAAGAAGAACACTCTCCCTTTAGGCAAACATGAGAGGGAAAAAATTCCCAAGGAAAGCACATCTTTTCTCTTGCTCAAGGAAACATGAGAGGAGAATCAACTTTCTTTTCTTTCTCTTTTCCCTTTTACACAACCCCTTCTCGAGTCCAAAGGAAGCGTAAAGATACATAATTCTGCATAACTAGAGAAATTCAAATGCAATGGATAGTAAAGTTGATTCATAAGACGCTCCTAAGCTGAACTTTGATGCAAATTTTTAAGGCATAGATTACAGTAAGTGGGGTTGGATTTACAATTTTGTTTGAGAACAGAAAAGAAAATTTATATGACTAATAAAGTCCAAATAGAAGGTGTAGTTGAATCTTCCCACACTTACACTGATTTAGGTTTCCCAACAGAATGTTGTGTAGAATGAAGCTGAAATATAATTTCATTGATAAATTTTGAAGGGACCCAACATTGGGATTATTCTGAACAAGAGTACAGGAAACTGACAAACTCTCTGCAGATTCAACATTAGAAACAACATTTGGCCTAATTTCATAAACTGGCTAGGTATGAAATACATGGTTGCGTGATTTCTACAATAGATAGTTACTAAACTAGTTTGTGAAATCAGGATGACTAATTACTCCCTCAGAGTCAAGTGCCAGGCTGACTACCGGATTCATATAAACTGGTTTCTCTTAGTTACAGGCACTTATTCAGTTATTCTTTTGGAATGGGTGATGTGAAGATGATAAGGGGTTTTGCCTAACATCTGATCCATCCTCCATATAAATCCGCCTTCTTTGTTTGCTCCAAACCTTAAGAAAACGCCCACCTACCCCAAGACTTGAGCTGAATTTGGTGTAAAACAGAGAAACCGTTTAAACGCTAGCCCCAGTGAGTAATGTATCTAACATAAACCGGTCTACCTTAGTTTTCCCAATGATGCAAAGATCTGAAAGTAGTCTGTGCTAATAGATTCTTGGATTGCCATCATAAGTATCATAACTGATGAAGGTTGAAAACAGATTATATAACGGAAAATAAGCAACTTCACTAATCTCATAGGAAAAGCATGATTTTTGGTTGAAAGTCAGATACACCATCCTTTACATCAGAGATATATCTAAGAGGGCCATCATATTACTGTTCCCCTAGCATGTAGATTGTTCCTCCTCCTACATTCATGGGAGGGACTCCTTCACCTCCCAGAATTACCTGGTGCAACCCCTTAGTGACCTGAACATGAAGGGATAAATGAACTTAGAACAGCATAGAATAAGGCTGAAAATGCTGGAACAGAGTTGATCGTCACTGTTCCTTCTCTTTGCTTTGTCTTTACCAGACGATGGGATATTGTTTTTAAGGGGAAAAAACATCAAAGTTTGCAATAACGACATAGCACTACAACAAGAACCGATATTTAATGTAAACAAACATCATCTAAATAGCCTATTTAACTAACAAGACTCACAAAAGCATATCTGTGAAATTCTGTCTGGAAATTTTGAAGTTTATATAACTAGCACCAATTCCCCATGTGAGGCATGGCAGTCATGTATAATAAGTTCCTTTGAGCCTTCACTATTATAAAGATCTTACTGATTTCAAATTTTGGAGCATTTTACCTTAGCTTTTCATTTTACTTTTGAATCTTTGATTCATGGTAACTCAAATATATTCAACAAATAGAAGATTTCAGCGTGATCCACTGATCATCTTAGACAAGGAAAAGAGAAAAAAAAATGATATATTGTACTTTAATTATTTCAATAAGCCTAAGCAACCAGCAAAGAAAAGAAAAGATTGATAGAACTGGACTCCAAGAATTCTTCAATCTATGACCTCGTACCTTACCAACACCAATACGCATTGTGAGAGGTCTAGCACGTTTATAGCTGCTGGCAAAGACTATCCCATCATCAAATCTTGCAGGGTAATGAATCTATGTGAAAAGGGATGAAAAAAGAAAAAGAAACAGATGAAAACAAAGAGAGATATCTTCATAACTGGACACAATTTAAGTAACATCAAATAGATATTCTACAATAATGACATACTAAAGTGTCTCACAATTGAATAGTCCAAATCCACACATATCACAGAACTTGAATCATGCTTGATGGTTCATCTCTTGACCATTTAAACATCTAGCTTCAAAGCATTAATCCACAGCCTAAGAAACCAACGAATTGAATCCCACTAAAGATTAAAGGTATAATCTTTATAAGAATGTTCGTCCATGAGAGTTACTAGCTATGCAAAGAGCACAACATAACAAACATTTCAAGTGCATTGCATTGCAAAGAATTAAAAATGAGACCACCATGGAATAGATTGTCAGAACCCAGAAGTAAAATTTGTAGGATTTAAACGAAAGTAAACAAGAATCGAACAATGTAACTACAAAAGTACCGACCCAAATCAAGAAAAACAACTCACATTGTAAGCTCTCCATAGGTGGCCTCCTGGCCGGTCTCCACGAGCACATAACAGTAACCGAGCCCAGAGCCCCACGGTAGCGAAGTAGTGGATCCTTATAAGTTTTTCTTTTTTTTAACTAAATTATCTAAATTTTTTGTATTTGAAAACCACATTAATAATTAACTAATTTAAAATTGAGTTGAATTAATAATAAAATTCCATTAATGTATATTTTGTATTCAAAAGACTACAATGGATTAACGTGTAAATGATAACTTAAATTTGTATAAAAAAATAAAAATTACCTTTTAATTTATTAAATGTATAATTGTATTCATTCAGCATTTTACCATTAACCATTGATGCTATAGCTTCGTCTTGATTGTAAAATGGTAAAACGATGCTTAAGCTCTGAATTCATTATGGCCGTTAGATGGGCTTTTATCATCCATCATGTTGGAGAACCGTAATTCTCCAACCGCACCCAAAACTGTCCTGTCAAATTCCCGCCAAAAGTAACAGATTACCGCAACTGCCAAGCCTCACATTTTCCAACACCTCTCCACGCGCTTCTATCGTCTACTCGCGGCACTGGGCCCTATAAATATCTCCGAGCTCTCTTTTTGCGCAGAAAAACTTACTCCGCATTTCTCTCTTCTCGATCATGGCGATCTCTCTCTTCTCCGTCATGGCGATTTCTCTGCAGATCCAATTCCTCCTCCTCGCTCTCTCCACACTCTCCGTCTCCCAAGCTCTCGATCCAATCTTAACCCCCTTCCTCACCGCCTCCACCACCACACCTCCGCCACCACAGATGATTTCACCGTCGTACACTGCATCGCCGCCGTCGCCGCCCCCGCCACCACCACCAACTCATAACCTGATCCTGAACGACCACTCGCTCTTCTCTTTTACGTCTCTCCTGGCGCCAATTCTCTCGCACCTCGGCTTCAACGAGCTAGCGACTGCTTTGCCATCGCTCTCAGCTGACTCCAGTGGCACCATGGCGTGGTCTGGTCCTTTCACGATGTTCGCGCCTTCCGATTCCTCCGTCCGTTCATGTGCCTCCTGCCCGGTTCCGTCGCTTCTGCGAGAGCACGTTGTTCCAGGCCTCTTCACTATCGATTACCTCCGCAAGCTTGCCTTTGGCACCAAGATCGAGACCATTAGCCCTGGCCGCTGCATAACCGTCACCACTACCGTCAACAGCCGTAGAAACAACACTATTCCCAAAGTTTTCATTGGCGGCGTGGAGATCACGCACCCCGATCTCTTCAGTAACGACCTCGTTATCGTCCACGGCATCCAAGGCTACATCTCACCTCTCTCGCCCCTCTCTTGCGACATCGAGCGCATGACTTCACTCTCTTTCCCCGTTAGCTACCAGCGCAACCCTCATATCCAACGTCAACCGCTATCTCCTCAACAACAGACTGCTCTGGTGAGGATTATGCTTAGGGATGCCGTTCTCCGGCTCCGCAACAATGGATTCAGTGTCGTTTCTCTCGCCATGAAGGTCAAGTACCCCGAGCTTGTCACTCTCAACAACATGACAGTTTTTGCTCTGGATGACATGGCGATCTTCTCCGGCTCTCACAGCTATATCCATAGTGTGAGATTCCACATCGTGCCAAACCAGCTCTTGACAATGGCGGAGCTCGGGAGGCTTCCGGTTGGGACTTCGTTGCCGTCCCTGGAAAGAGGACAGAATTTAGTAGTGACGACTGCCGGTGGAGACGCTACAGCCCCGCCGATGAGGATTAACTATGTGAGGATCAAGGTTCCTGATGTGATGAAGAATGAGAAGATTGTGGTCCACAGTCTGTTCTTACCGTTTCCTCATATTCATAACGTGGCTACTGCATATGATGGGATGATGGCAGGAAATGAGGAGGCAGGTCATCAAGTGATGCCAGTGGAGGGCGCTTGTGCCGCTGTGGATGAAAATGGTGAATGCCGCAATAGAGGAGGTGAAACCGATGGCCTGTAGCCGATGACATAAAGTGTGCAAGGCATCGAGGTATATGGTTTGATGTACCGTAGGTACTACTGTTATCCTGACATCAGTTTACTTAGCTAATAATGAATAATGGTTTTGCTTCCTTTTCCCTGTTTGCAGTATATTACTAACACAGGGATTAAAGAAAAGCTTGATTCTATGTTTGGTTGATTGTTAACTGTACTTGAAATATGTTTTGGTTCTAGCCTTTCGATTAATTTGTTCAGGTTGGTGTGTTCGCTTTGTTGAGCATGAATGCATGATTTTAGTCTCTCATCGTTATCTAATTGCAATTTATCATGAAGAAAAAGACATAATATACTAGTCCTAAGAGCATTGAAAGCTAAGAATTCATAATGTGCTAGGCAGTGTCATTATTGGGTTTTCATTAGATCCAGGTTGTGTATTGGGTTGGGTTCCTAAATGTATGTATTGTCAATGTTGGGCTGATCGAGACTGGACTTACCCCATAGTTGCAACTTGGAATCCAACATATCATGTGACCCCATTGGTCTACGGCCACACAACTAACAAATGATTTCTAGGTCTAGGCCCAAATTGTTTTAGTTCGGCATGAAAAGTGTGCAAAAGTCACAACCGTTCTGGTCAATATGTAATCGTACGTCGACTTGCACCTAACCACGTTAAATAAAATTTTCTGTTCAATATAAAATGTATATCCTCTTTTTTTGACTGGGTTCAACATTGAATTTTCTTAACGTTCTGGTCCATGCCTTCTGGTGTAAACAACTAATTATTTTAGAGAGCCTATTGGTAATCGATTAAATCCTCAAAACCAAAGGGAGGAAAAAGACGTACTGAATTTCATAATCTTGTTTCAAAGCTACATCCAAATGTTTTACAAAAATAAAGGTTTACAAACAATCAAACATTCACTTTGCATTCTATAAATTAAATAAATAAATAACTTTGCATTTCTTATATTTTGTCTAAGAAAGTGAAAGTAACCGCAAAATTTACTAAGGTGAATGGCGACCTAGAGTTTCACCACAACCCATAATGGATGAAGGCAGTTTCCCCACCTTGTCGATTCCTTCTGCAAATACCACTCCCATACCCATTAAGAAATGGGATTCTATATGGCAGTGGAATAACCAGGCTCCAGGATTATCCGCCCGAAATCTCAAAGCAGTCCAGCCATAAGGATGAACCGGCACGGTGTTCTTCAACACAGGATCCACCAAACTGTAATTCTTTGGATCATTAAACGGATCAAACTTGCCATCCCCGTATCCCAAAACCCAGAAGTCATGTCCGTGGAGATGCCAGGGATGCGTCTCACTGTTATTCGGCAACATGGTGTTGGCATTCTGAAGTATAATATCCACCGTAGAATTGAAATCCAGCCTGTAGATACCGTTGCCTAAGGTGGCATTTGTGTTTGGTTGGACTATGTTAATATCATAATTCAGGAAGTCATATCCAGTGGGCGGCGGGGTTTGATCGAACACATGGGTTAAATTCTCCTTGAGTGCAATCAGGTAAGGCGTGTGTGGAAGGGTGAAGGAGACGTTGTTGACGGACCAATGACGACGTTCGTTTATTTGATTCTGTGTGTTGAGAAATACAATCACCCTGTCCGACATTGGAGGAGGAGGATGGACGTAGCCCTTGCGAGCTCTGAGGGCTTTACTCTGTGCTTTCCGTGGAGCTGTGTCATTCCAAGCGGGGCCAGTTGGTGGACCTGTTGAAGGGCGTCTCCTTGGATGGTTTGGATAGTAATTCCAAATGGCTAACCCCGGCGGAGTGTTACTGGGATCCCGGCTGACATCCCGGCCGACAATACTGGTGGTTACCCAGTAATTCCTGGAAGGATCTTGGTCGGCCTTCACGAGGACAGAGTATGTCTCGCCAGAGTATATGAACAAGTTCTGTACCACAACTGGCTCCACAAAGTACCCATCTGCTTCCACAATAGTCATGTTATGACCCTGTTCAGAATTATATGCAGAGAGATTAGGCAAGATTAAAAAAAATTATGAACATGGCTTAGATGGAAGTTAGTTGATTAAACTAATTACCTCTATCTGGAAACTGAGAGCAGAAAGAGCAGTCAAACTGGAAATTCTGAGACGATATTGCTTTCCTGGAACTACAGTCAATGTAAAAGGAGAGGAGCATTCTGGATTTGTGACATTACAGATACCAGCGTCCAAGCTTGTAGTGATGAGTTTAGAGCAGTTGAACCTTCCTTTTCCATGAATCAAAAGTGACTGCAAATTAAACATTTCAGAGTCGATTAGCCAACTCCTGAAAGGGCAAACCGTATGAGAAGAGTAGCTCGACTAGTTCAGTTTGGTGCATTTACCTGAGGTTCCCCAACCCATTGAAAGGGAACGGAAGTCAGGCCAACTGCTTGCTCATAAGTACTCTTGTGGTACCAATCAGTCAAGATGATGTTCCGATCGTAATCATATTGAAAGGGTTCCGATTCTCCGTCAGGAAGTGATACATGGATCGATCCATATAGTCCAGCTTCTCTTTGCATTCCATAATGTGCATGGTACAAGTACGTTCCAGCCTACATTGAACAAATCAGACAGACCAAAATGATCAATTTTTTTTTTTTTTAAATTCAAGTGAAGAGACTGAAGTAAATTGAGACTAGAATTCTGGAACTCACTCTGTCCACAACGAACTGGTATTTGAAAGTGGTTCCAGGCAGAATTGGACACTGAGTCACCCCTTCTGTTCCGTCAAACCATGGTGTTCCTTTCTGTTATCCATCATCGGTACATCAAAATTAGAACTCCAGAGATGTAACTCTCTCTCTCTCTATATATATATATATATATATATATATATATGTTTCAAGGAATGAAAAATTATGGGAATCATTTAAAATCTACCTGTCGGATTCCATGCCAGTGGATTGCAACATTCTCAGTCATCAGATTATTGGTAAGCTCAACAATAATGGTGTCACCTTGTTGTGCCTTGATTGTAGGCCCCGGACTTTGACCGTTAATGGTGATAACCAGCTTCTTAACACAATCAGGGGACCTGTACTCGTACTTCACATCCCATTTAAACCGGCGAATTCTAGCATCAGCAGCAGGAAAGTTCATCAAGGCAAGGAAGAAACACAGGACCAAGACAAAACTTCTGCATCTTGAAAGCCAAATCATGGTGAATAACCGAAAGTTGGAGGTGAACTTTGTTTGTTGCAAAGAAAATGAAATGGGTACCGCTGTATTTATGTCTCATAAAATTGACCAAGTCAATATACGTGACTAAGAACATGTGCAAGCCGCATGGCGACACCCAAAGGAGTTCTATTTTGACTAAGAAATTTATATAAATATGAAATGTATAAGTATTTAAAAAAATATGAAATGTATAATCTTTGACCCTTCTTTTTTTTCAACACGGGAAATTATGGGGGGTAGGAATTTTTTTTAAATTATTGGTGAAAGTGAGACTCTTAATCAATTAAATTTAATTATTTAAAATTTAAAAATAAATTACTAAATCAAAGGTTCAATTTAATTTTTTATTTTTTTACAATATAAATTATAATTTTTTTAAAATTTTAAATTATATAATGAGAGATTTTTTTTAATTTATTATATTTATATATTATATAATTTAAATTTAAAATATTTTATTTTTATTAAAAAAATTAAGATTAAAGTATTTAAATAATCCATGGCATATGTTAGAGTATTATGCATAACAAATTAGGATTGAAAGAGAAAGGTGATAAGGTATATGGCCAAAGTAAACGTTAGATGAGAAATTATATTTATATGGTTTTTGATTTTATAATCATAAATGAAGGTTTCTCAGTAACTGTGTGCTCTCTAACGAAGTTTGAATATTGACTTTGGGTTTGCTTAAAGAAAATAGAAGTCAGGAAACCGCGTGGCTTGTGCATCTGGGTCAGGGAAATTTCACGTTTATTCAATTTTGTCTGGCTAAGGAAACATCACTGCAATATCTTCTTCTTTTTCTTTCCTTTTTTTTTTTTTTTACAAGGATAACGATTAAAAAATTAGTATGGATTAGTTGTTAGCAATTGACTTTCAAACCGGGTGAATATTTCATTCTTTTAAATGAGATGCGCGACCATTAAATTACTTTTTGGTGGAATTCACGACAATGATAAAACTCAAAACTCCAACCGCATTCATCTAAGCACTTAAAAATTGAGGTCGAACTATTGAGGCTAAAGGACCAGTTCCATCACTGCAATATCTTTTCTTTAGAATTTGTGATTTTTTCTGGTTAAGGAAATATCTTTGCAAGCTCTTATCTCTAGAATCTTTTTATGTGGTATTTGTCTACCAGTGTAGTGGTAACTATTTATTTGGTAATTAACTTCGTACCTTCCCTCTATTATAACCCGCTTATTATAACTTAATTTTATATTATTTATTTAAGTAATTTAATATATATTTTTCAAATAAAAATAAATAATTTTGAGTTCTAGATTGCATAATATACCATTAAAATAAGTTAAGAGATGATAAAAATTACTTTTTAATATGTAATTTAAAATAAAATAAAACTTGATTTTAGAGGTTATATTTTTGCAGATCTTTTCCTATACATCTATTCTAACATTTGGATTAAAATGTTTCACTTAAATGGTCAAGCTCTGAAATCTTTACCATTAGGACATGTCTTTAGATTTTGTTTGATTACAGGTTATATAACAAACGGAATTTTATTAAAAAATTTTAGTTAGTGTTTATATACCCATAGGTTGTATAAAAATATTATTTAAAATTTTATGCAATAAAGTTAAAAGCAAATTAAAAAATACGTAAGAAACGAGAAATTTACTTCTCAAATTGTAAGAAAATAAAAATAAAAATAATAGCATATATGGATCACCTGGCCATTATGCTTAGCCCATTGTTTGAACATTTTTCTGAAAGTTCGTTTCTTTTCCCTCCTTTACGGCCAAAGATGAAATAATTTGCACGAGGCCTTCATAGGTCATTTAATAAGTATATTTAATATTTTAAGAACAATTAGGTTTGTACTATAATACTGTTATATTATAATTTTTTATTTTCTATCTTCAAATTGTATTTGTTTTTTTTTAAAGTGAAATAATATATTCTTCTTTTGTTTTTCTTGACATGCTTTTTTTTTTTTTTATATTAATCTTTCGGTATTCGATAACCACATTTGATCCCGATTAATCTGGAATCGAATCTCATCGGACCCCATTAAGGTGAAAACTCTCCCAACGCTTATTTTTCTATTCACAAAACTCAAACTCGAGACTTTAATTATTTAAAAAGAACTGAATTCATTTCACTCAAACTCACAAGTCATTAATTTCATATGCTTCCTTTGCCTTTTATTATCAAAGCCTTTTCCAATCATATGACTTTAGGCTCAATTTACGGTTGGAGATTAAATTAACAACAAATAATCATTTACCATATAATTTGAAGGTTTGATGGAATTTATTATACCCTCTCATTTCATTTCTATCCTTTTTCCTACTTATTCTTTCTACGTTATTTTGTTCACCGTCCCTTCTATTTAGAGAAAGGTAGGGTTAGCAGAGGTGGAACAAAAAAATATTTTTAAAGGGGGTAAAATGAAACATTAATTATAAAATGGACTAAGAATTTTTTTCAATATATTATATAATAATTATTTCCTTCCCTTAATTTCTTCTCCATCCGTTTAAAATTTCGACTCAAAACTTTTAACTTAAAATTTCAGAGTTTTCAACTACTTGATATATGTCTTTGGGAGCTATAAAATGGAGACACACTTGAATATGTTGAGTGGCTAGCTTCACAGGCAATTTCAGGAGCACGTACTTGATCAACGCAATCCATGGAAAAATTAGAGAGCCCCATGTTTATGTGCTGCGTGCGTCTTACCTCTTGGTACTAATAGTGTAGCAGTTCATGCTGATATAGATGGGGCTTAGGCATTAAAGAGGGCGGGGCTATAATTACGGCTACTAATTACCGTTAAATTTTTAATTTAATTTAATTATTAAAAATAAAAATATATTTAATAAAATGATTAATATTTATTATTTAATAAATTAAAATTAATTTATAAATAAATATTTTTAATATTATAATTAATATTTAAAAAACTATAAACTAATAAAATTACAATTAAATTAATAAACCTTACCTATTTAGTTGGTGACAGCAACATGGCCCTTAACGCTCTTTCCTCGCAAAATGCCATCGGCACAAGAAAAAGAAGCCCATATAAATTTATGGCTCAATCAAGTGGTATGCGGTTTCGCATCTAGGTCCATAACCCCAATTAGTTGGATAGATTTAAGCGGATCTGCCAAGTGCCAACTTCTCTCAGTCTCTGACCCAACTTCACAAATTTACCTATCGAAATGGGCCTCAATAGGACGACGGAAAGGGGGAAATGCCACTCACACCAGAGCGCCTGAATTTTTTGATCCCAGGCATATGTTCTTTGAACCTTAGCTACATGTTGCTGGCCATATGCCAAGCAAAACAGCAGCCTAGTCTATCAAGCTTGTTAAAGACTTCATCTAAAAGGCCAGAAAATGCTACTGAGAAACAAAAAAACTACTTATTACCGGAGAAACCAAATCATGCATCCATTTCCCTAACCTTGGTTTGCCACAAGAACCTAACATATATATATATATGGATAAAAAAATTATGGACACAAATTTCAATTCATATTACATCTAATATATCAATGAATCAATATTTAATCAACTTAACATACTACTAATTAAAAGAATTGATTTATTGAACTGTAAAAAATTAACTATTAATGGAAAAGAATCCCTTAATGTGACATCATCTTTTTCTTATCAATAACTATAATATTTAACAAATTGATGCAATTTGGAATTTAAAAAAAATCACTATTACTAAAAGAAATTTCAAACAGCAGTGGCCCCGTTGACCTTGGATTCATCATCCATCCATGGCTGTACGTTTTATTCTCAATAGATCTTAGTACTGACCTTTATTTTCCCCCACAACCCATAATGGAGGAAGGCAGCTTCTTCACATATTCAATCCCCTCTTCAAACACAACTCCCATTCCCATGAACAGATGAGCATCTACATGACAGTGGAAGAACCAGACTCCAGGATTATCCGCCTGGAACCTCAAAGCAGTCCATCCGTAAGGATGCAGAGGCACCGTGTTCTTCAGTATTGGATCCACCAAATTGTAACCCTTCGGATCCTTGGACTTATCAAATTTCCCATCCCCATACCCTAATACCCAGAAATTATGTCCGTGGAGATGCCAGGGATGTGTCTCACTGTTATTTGCAGTCATGGTATTTGCATTCTGAAGTATAACATCCACTGTAGAATTGAACCTTAGCCTGTAAATCCCGTTGCTTGAGGTCGCATTTTTGTTACTTTGGACTGCATAAATATTGTAATTTTGATAATCATATATCAAGTCCGGAGGTGAGGTTTGGTTAAATGCATGAATAAGTTTTTCTTTGAGTGCAATTATATAAGGAGTGTTTGGAAGAGTAAGAGAAACATTGTTGACACACCAATGGAAAAACCCATTTATTAAATTTTGAGTGTTGAGAAGGATTATGACTCTGTCGGAGTTTGGAGGCGGCTGAAGGACGTAACCATGGCGAGCTCTGATGGCTTTGCTCTGCGCCTTTCTTCGGGCAACATCGT